CAACAATAGTTTTAGTTTTTTTATTCGATACAATGACATTTGTTAAGAAATGAATTGATATACTGAAAGCTTGTTAAAACCTAAATAACTTTTATATAGAAAGTTTATTTGTATGTCACTTCATTTCGAGATAAAGGAAATTCTTTTTACTGATAATAAATCTAAATAATCTCTATCTATAATAAAAGTTTTAAAGAACTTATTTTTCCCGTTAACGAGAAATCGATGTTACAATGTGAAAAAAAAATCAAATTTCATAACATTTGGTCACGCTGATATATAAAAGGTGTCCCATCATAACTGAAGATAAATTGTCAACAACATTTTTCACACTTTTTCGTAACGTAGAAGGCTAACATTTTTTTCACATGTATATTTAAGTAAGATCTTCATTTTTTTTTCAAAGTTTCAGCTATCTAACTAAAACTCAATTGCAAAAGAACGCCTAAGGATTGTTTTAACTATATAGAAATGTATTTATATCTAAAATCTTTTAGATTTAATCACAAATTTTATCTTGAATATTCATCGATTACGAAAACAGAATTATATTGTAAATAGTTTGTATTGAATGTAAATCATCTCAAAACAACATTAAGTATAGGTTGTACGGTTCGCAGCACAAGTATTTAATGAACATAGAGAATCAGTAGATAGCGATGCTAAATTTACTAATATATGAAGAACTGTAAATATGTGAAGTATACTGAACGAAAAAGTTCACCTAAAAGTGTTTGATATGTAATTACAATTAGAAAAAGAAAACTAGTAGAACATGATAAAACCGATTGCATATCAAAACGACACAAGATTTTTGTTATGTTTAAATTACTTTGTAATTTTTTGGTTCAATAGTAAGAATATGTATAGTTCATAATACCATAATTTTCGTTCATCTAAGTTCTAACAATTTTGGATTTAAGTTCATTCAGACTATTTCAATTAAAATAGCAAATGATCTGGCACTTTTGAAAATAGTGAAAGAATACTGGCGATTGTGTGAGGAATCTACGAGACATTAAATTTTATCTCTTTTATTACTATTATTATTCTTGTCAAACTAGTGTGACTTTCATATTTTCGTGTTTTTCCTTCATCCACATCTTGACTTAAGAGAATTCGAGAGACTAAAATATTCTTACAGCTTTCAAAGATATGTAGGCATAAAAGTAAAGCAGGATAAATTAAATTTCTCGAGGATCTATAGACTGTGCGTTTTCCTACTTAATCCGAGTTGCTGTCAGGAAAAATTTACCAATTCATTCTGTTAAAACTTTACATTTATAAAAACAACACTTGATTCGTCCTTTTCACTTTCGTCTCTGATTAATTTTCGCAAAGAAATGCGTTTTTATTTAATAATATATTTTTATATTCAGAGGATGATCGTAGACAGCTTTGGTGTCTAGATTTTTCAGTATTCAGATTTTGACAAAGTTTCTGTAGAATTTTATCGAATCTGTAAGATTTTCCACTGTCAAATAATGGACCAGTCAGATACTAAGAAGTCAGAAAGAAAAGTTACTCATTATTTTCTTTGATTTATTTTTGATTTTTTTCTCCATTGATAAAGATTTTAATTGTTTCTAAAATTTTGTTATTAACTTTTGGTAGAAAAATGTAAGTAAAAATAATTCTTAATTTCACATATATTTTTTCGATTTTATATTAGTAAATCGATTAATTTCATTGAAAATTTTGATTATCTCAACGATTGTGATGTATATGAAACATTTTCAAGACTTAATATTCATTTTCAACATCTTTGTTCGTCTCTACTATACAAAATTAATCTTTCTTCATTATCTCCATCAATTCTTTGAAATCAATGTTGCCGTATTATCTTTCTAAATAAACATTACATTACATCACATCACTTGTCTTATCGAATAAATCAGCTGTCAATACATTTTTCACATTTCATTCCATTGATTCATCTTTTAATCGTCTCGAATCACTTGTTCTCGATGGCATTTTCCAGACCATATCATATCAATTTTTATCCAATTAACTTCTCTACCTGGTCTATTCTCATTAACAATTACTCTTAATAGAAGTATATGGCAAACGTTTTTCATTGCCTCTTGCTATTAATAAAGATTTTAGTGGTAACAAACATTTGATCATTAGGTGTGGATTGATGTTGGTGAGATAAGAGCAACATCCACACAGCGAACAGCGCATTGTTTTTCTATTAGACGAAAACGAGTGTTTTTGTGTCGAGAGTGCTTCCAACTACTTCCGTCTAACAGTGAACTATCGACAACTAACTTTTTCTGTATTACTAAAATGTGAAATATTTATGGGAACACTAACTACGAATAAAAATCGAAAACAATTTCATAATCAGATTTGTAATCAATTATTTATATTTTTCCAGGAAAAAGTTACTAAAGAAGTAGAGTCATATATAAACTTCTGTCCGTACACATACCTGATTGCGGGCTTCTGTTAAACATAATCGATTATAATTGATTAAAATAATTTGGTTGATTTTAATCAAGTAATTATTTTTTCTTTTTGTAGCTGAAAACGAGCATAAAATAGAGATTCTAGATGTAGAAATAAATGTTTTCGCGTAAGACGTCGAGTATTCGATAATCACAATTAGTGATGGTAGTTAAACTTTAAAAATATTTTGATAAAGTAATTAAATCAAACGTAAGGATTTTCCACTAACGAAAAAGTTTTTTAAAAACATAGAATTTTTGGTAAATTTTGATGAAAGACCTTCGAGGTTCAGAAATTATAATCTAAAGCTGGTTGTTAAAAATTTTGAGTTTTGATTTTCTCATTAAAAATCTGTTTCTTGCAGAAAACTGATTTTCTGACAAAGAAAAAAATCAGTTTTTCATGCAATAAATAATCTTTTTCAAAAGTAAGGTTTCTTTTTTGGTGTAAAAAACAAATTCGAAGTTTTGATAAATTGATTTCAGATTTGGGTTTCTCAATCACCAAAGCTCCTAATCAAACCTTGTAGGGTGTGGGTGTGGGTGTGAGAAGTGATCTTAGGAACATACCCACACCCTGTCCTTTTTTTCTTTTCTCAATCATTGGCATATTCTTGCTTGATGTATGAGTTATTGAGACCTCTGCAGAGTCTTCCTTTCTCAGAAAAATCAACCTTGAAACAAGTACATTCAAATCACATGAAATTTTACTATGTGTTGGGACTGTAGTAGAGAAGTTATGCTGGAATTTTCAGCCCTATATCATGAAGTTGTCAAACGATATGCAACAAAAAAGAAGCAAACAGAAACAATTCATTTGACAATGAATTTTTTAAATTCTTCTTCTGTATGCGAAGAAGAACAAAGATAATTTCAATAGTTCGAAAAACTTTCAAAAAATTGTCATCTATTTATATGAGTGCATTTTTATATGATAATAGAAAAACTTAATTTCAAAAACTGATGTCTGTCAAGCAATGTAGTTTCACAAGTTCTTTCAAATAAAAAAAAACAATTAACTAGAATGTAGCTCCTTCGACAACTCTGAAATGTTCGATTAGAAAAACATAAACAGAGAAATAAATAAAATAATATTTACCACTGTATCTGAAAAAAAGAAAGCATATTTTCAAGCAGAAGGTAACGGAAATTATCAAAAATTTTTGAATATAAAACGAGGTACCAAATAGAAAAGGTCATGTCGTTTGACTATCTTTACGTTCTGCTGACGAAAATTGATTCTGTATTTTTTTTTTGATGAGAAGGAGACTTAAAACAAAATTAATAACTATTTTAGAACAGAAATCTATGTTAGAAAATGTTCAATATAAAATTCAATAACAATACAATGAAGTGAATTTGAAATCATGGAAACTTGTTTTTTTAATCAGATTAAATTCTACTGATCGATCTAATATTAATTTTAACAAATGGACGATTAATTTTGAAAAGAAAAATCAAATCTTTAAACCACTATTTATATCACCAATAATCAATAAGTTTCAAATTTCTGTCATCTGCAGAATATCATCATTGGCGATGATTAGTTTATTTATTTGATCATTTCATTACTTCGTTAAAAAGCCAAGAATCTTTATAAAAATTTAATTATGAAATAATTAGCAGTAAAAGTGAATGAATTAATCAAAAAAAAAAATTGTTTACTAAAGAATAACCTAGGTCGAGAAATTCGATCATTAAATATTATTGGATTTGATCAGATTCAATGTTGGAAATAGTCGAATTTCGACAAACGTTTAACTGAGAAAGGATCTTATCAGATCCTGAAACGAAACGCAAGAACTCCGATAGGATCAGATCGGATTTAAATCAGCATTCTATAGTTGCCCTCTTTTCTATTCCTTATCATTTTGTTATCGATAACAAATGATTACATTTATGCTGCCCATAGTAAAAATCTACTGTCTACTCGTATTATTCCTTTATAAAGAATCGAGCACAAGACAAATCCTGATATCGTTGTCAAAACGAAGTGCAAAGATATTACTGTCTATGTCATCCAAATCGCGCAAAAATCAACAAATTTATCACGATTTATTAATCAATTAAATGAGAGATTTCTTTTTTTCCATATGCAGTAAATACTACAATTTCTTTTACTAAAATAAATCTGATCATTTATTATTGAGAGAGATCTTAATAAAAGAAAGAAAAATCCACCTGTTTTTACTGAATAACATTTGCCCTTAATTGAGATTTTCAAATGACTTAAATGAAAGGAAAAAATATTCATTCTTAATAATAATAATAATAATAATTACCCTTCCTTGAGCACCTATACCCATATCTACATCCTACTAACTCGTATTGTGTTCGAAAATATGTCAAAGCACATCAACAGCTTAGAAGCTTCGCCCTCTGTCGAATGAAATATAAATTGATAAAGATAAAATTCTACTCAAGTTTTGGCCTTGATATAGTTTACCTTTGATCTACTACCTGCAAATATAAGAATCTGATAAGGACAACGCGTATACGCATATCATCTGTTCTAATAAACACTTTTCTTATTTTTTTCGAACTTTAATAATGACTAAAAAGATTCTTATTACTGGCGCATCTGGTCTCATTGGTGGCATCCTAATTCAACATCTATCCAAAAACTCCAACTATAATATTTATGGTATCGATAGACATGTTGCATTATCGATACGCTATCAACTTGAAAACACGCCATTGTCGAAAGATTTACAACCAATATTACCCATGAAAGAGAAGTTTTTCCTATGTGATATTTTGGATAAGGATGAACTTTCGCGTATTATTCGAGATAATAAAATTCAGATTATAATTCATTTAGCAGCAGTTTTAGAAATGGAAACAGTTGAACAAATTGAACATATTAATTGTAATGGCACAAAGATTATATTCGATATAGCAAGAGAACAAAATCTTGTTGAAATGGTGATCTATGGCAGTTCAGCTATGACTGTTTTTGGTTATTTTGAAAACGAACCTTACTTATCATTAGCAAAAAACATTCAACCTCAGCAACCGTTAACAAAAATAACAATTAATGATCCACCAATACCATCGCATTTTAATCCATCCTTTGAAGCATATTGTAAAAGTGAAATCTATGGTGAAGATTTAGCGAGACAATATTCATCAATTAATGGAAATAAAGTAAAATTTATTTGTCTCCGATTCGGTTACATAAATACAACTGATGATGTAACATCTAACGTACACAATTGGTCGATTAAAGCAATTTTGATGTAGTTATCATGATTTATGCCAATTCATTGATCGCATATTAGAAAATCAATTGAAACTGAAACAATTTCATATCTATTTCGTTATGTCAAATAATGATTTTTGTTGGGCTGATATGGAGAATTCTAGGGAAGATTTGAATTATGTACCAATTGATGGAATTAAATGGAGTTAGTGGTACTCATAAGAAACGTCATCCTAGAAAAAATTGGTGCACTTTAACTTCACTTTTCACTGAAACTATCCTAACTATTACTTATGTTTCTTCAACATCTGGAGTGTGAGTGTGGGCGTGGATGATGAAAAGACTCGTCTCACATCCGTCCACACTGTGTTTTTATTATGACTTAGATTAATAATAGTGTGATTTCTATTATTTTTTTCAGTTTTAGGCGTTGATATTACAGTCTCATACACATATGAAAAAGGAATAAATTAGTAAGAATTTGATTATCTTACTCATGATAATCCATCAATACGTTTCATATTTTTTAATTGAATAATTTCAAGTGTATCTTTACCATGATAGCGTTCACTAACTAATTGTTCAATTGTTTATTCAACAATATTTTGCGGAGGTTTTTTTGTTATTGAATTTTTTTTTCGATCATGTCATATCTTAAGAGCCTCCTCCTTCAGAAAATTCATTTTTTCGAAAAGTAACTGAAATTAATTTTCTTCATAAAATGTTGCATTGAAGTTTTCTTTCTCAGAATATATACAACTTTTCACATAGAGCCAAATTTTAACAAAGTTCCTCAAAAGACTACAGACCTACTGGCCTGTTTTCTGAGGGTGTGGGTTTGGCGTAGGGGTGTTCTCACTTTCTCTTTAAGCACACTCCACACCCTACTCACTGTAATAATAGTGGTTCTCAGTTTAGGCTTTAACGATTTCTCTTATGAGAAAACTAGAAAAATGACCTTCTAATATCAACTGAATTCCAAACTTGCCAACCGCATATACATGAAGTTAAACCAGGGTGTGGGTGTGTGGCGGTGTGGGTGTGGGTGGTGTAGGTGTGATTGCGAATAACCCTACGATCTGGACTTGCCCACACCCATACCTCACAACCACATGCACACCCACACCGACACCCACACCCTGTTTTCTGTATTTTTCTGTAGTTCTCGTTTGAAACATCTGTTATTGGTCTCGATATAGCTTGGTAATGATCGTTTTAAGATCGAAAATTCCCATGTATCAGAAAAAAACAAAAAAATAAGTCATTCAAAATTATACTGCATAGAACTTGTTTTTATGAATTGATATCCGGTTATTTTTCGGTAGGAAAGACATCGGAAACGACAGGAAGAGGCCGTAATTTACACTGTTTCCGAAGGTCGGAATCATTGACCTGAGGCACGAGAACAATGAAGGAAATGGTTTCAAATAGAAAGAAAAACAAAGAAAACTATCGGTGAACTCTTCTCTTCCACCCTATATATGGAGACAGCGAAGAAAAGAATCCGACTAGGGGTAACCCTTTATCTTTACTATCCTTTATAATAAAGGATAAAGATAAATGAATCCTTTACTCTTAAAAAATAAAGATAAATGGATCCTTTATTTTTTAAAAATAAAGATAAATGAATCATTTATCTTTAAAAAATAAAAGAAAAATAAAGGAATAAATGATACTTTTTACGACAATAGATAATGTAATTAGAAAAGCACTGGAATCATGGAACAAATTTGCAGAGAGATTACTACAATTTAAAAATGTAATTTGATTTAAAATACGCTTCCTAAGATGAAATTCAAAAATAACAGAAATGAAAGCTTTATTTCTGTTTTTTTAGGGTTGTAAGAAAGAGGAAAATCTTCTTCTAACATTCTAATGTGAGCAAAGGCTTTCCATGTAACTTTTGACATATTAGAATATTTACGATGATAACGAAACGAGGAAAAAATTCACTACAACTCAGAGCAAATCATTATACCTAGAATATCCGTTATACTTTTTCATCGTATATTGAGATTCTTGGATCGTTATTATAACATAATTAGATCGAACGAAGCATACATTTTATCTCTTTCTTTCCTTGATTATAGGAATATTTGTCAGTCTGGAAACAAAGAAATGTTCAGACTAATATTTTCTACTTCGTACGTTCGACTATTATTGTATTGCTGATTAATGTATGAAGAGTAGGATTAGATATTCGTATGGAGGCTTTTCTTTTTTGTAATGTGTACAGAAACTCTCAGACAAACACATCACTTTTCCTCCTACACATGGCAATCATTACATTACCAATCAAACGAAGAATAATAGATAGAAATAATTTTCCCTTTGTTCGCAGCCTATTAAGCCATTGTAAATATGAGAATTTCGCTTTTTTTTTCAGTGAAAGGCTCGAAGAACAGATTGTCTTTTTTGTCATCTTAATAACGAGTTAAAAATAGAGTAATTATTTAGTGGAGCTTTGAAGAGAAATGCTTTTTTACGTCCTACTTCTAGACATTGATACTACCTATCATTGTTTACAAGGATATTTTGACCAAGAAGCAACTGTCGTGAACATGAGAATGTTATGCTAATCCTAGGAAGTATTTGATTTTTCACAGCAGAGTGAATAAATTTCATTGCACTCGGTTGATAATCTTCCCGCTCGAATCACGGCCTTTTTGAGATACATTTAGTGGCATGAGCAATTGAAGAAAAATGTAGAATGTCCATATTTGCCTTGTTGATGAGGTGAGGAGAGTGATCTAATCAAACATTAGACAGAAGATTATTCTGCCTGTATAAATGTGCAATAAGAAACGCGATATCTTTGTCTGTCGGAGTGAAAAATTTTAGCGATTAAAATCGATTAAAATTTTGAAATCCTATGGGTCTAAAGAAAATTACTAACCCAATTATTCTGCACCAAAATCCAAATAATTATCGATTATAATTTGGATTTTGTTCCGCAATAGTCATGGTGAAAATTCTCATATAACTGACTTCAGCCCAATTTTAATCAGTTTTTTATACTGTTGTACTGGTTTCTAAACAATCAGATGAACTATAACTAAATAGAGATCTTTATCATACAAAAAAATGACCAGAAAACAAAAAAAGATTGAAATCAGATTTTTTTCCGCTTTTTTACATGGGAATTATTTGCTCTAATTCTATGCTACCTGTTAATCTGCTGCATCCCCGTATTACCTGTTGTTACTTGTTAATCGATTATAATCTATTCTTACGTTTTAATCGATTTTAATCAATGCTTATTTTTTAATTCATTTTAATCTGTTCTTACCGTTTAATCGGTTTTAATAATACACATTGAAGATATGCACTTTTCTCGGTATTCGAACACGAAACTCTAAATTTTTTTATGATTTTTTTGGATTGCTCGTATTTAGAAACTACCAAAATTCCTACCAAGCTAAACTCCGGTAACTAAAGTAAAGTTGGAACGGGTAGATAAATTGTTTCATATTGAGCCCGGTGCAATTACATCAGAAATCGATTAAAATCAATTAAAAATCAAAAATCAATTCAAATTAATTAGATTATTTTAATCGATTTTAATCAATTGTATACAAATTTTACCTTGTTCTATATATATGAGACTTTTCCATATATAAAACACTTATCTCATTGCTATCCTTACACGTTATACTCATCTACTGTGAATTCTCTACTTCGGAAAAAGTCAGTTTTATTTCACTATTACTTTTAGATATCGATGAAACATGAGTCAGGTTTGAAATGAACTAGCGATTGATTTAAACCAACCTACAACTCAGATAATTTGGAATAATCACTTTGAAATCTACTAACTGAATTTTTCTTGATTGTGATTTTAATCGATTAAAAAATTAAAATCTATTTTTTAATTGCAATCAAAATACAACAGATAGAATCTTCAAGAATCGAATTGGATTCCATGAATCCGGTTTTTGTTGATTGTGATTGCAATCGATCAAGAAAATTAAAATGGATTCTCGAGTAAAATTGAATTATAAGTCAAAAAAGAAAAAAAAAAATCGATTGACTGGATTTTTTGTTCAACCAATTTTAGGATTATAATCGATTTTAATCCGATTTATGGTGAAAAAACGAATGGTTAAGAGAAATATTGAGATTTATGTACTGATAATCAAAAAGGATCTCAATTTTCATAGGAATATTTTCCACTGGGAGTGGCATTCATAATTTAACGATGGGACTGGTGCCGATACGAATTTCACACCTGCTGTTCTGCCAGTAGACTGGTTGTTACCTTTACATCAGTCGGACATTTGTAGACCGCTCTTATTTACTTTAATACTCATATAATATAAGCTTACTCATAACTCCTATTGGTTTTTGTAGTAACTCATGGAGAACTTGTAATAATTTTTTTTGTTTTTTGAAACCTAGCTATGTCAAATAACATTGTTCTGAAAGAGAACCAGTACTGAAAATGACCAAAAGTTGCATTGTTGCAAATATCAGACCGACCAGTTGTTGGTACACCGCTCGATTGCCGATAGACCGGTCGGTTCAGTCAAGTGTGTGACCTATTCAGACTAGTATTGACACCGATCTTCAAGAAACCGGACTGGCTCCATCTCTGTCATGCTTTGGTCAATATAGCATCGGCAATGACGGTTCCGACTCTAATCTCTTGTATATTTTTCAGATTTTAATGTAATTACTGACTTCTAGTTAAAATGTTTTGTTTAACCTACATCATATTATTATCACAAAAAATTACTTGATCGAGTTGTATCAAATACAAATGTATTAAATGTTGTTTTCGAGCATCTAGTAACTCTGAACTACTATATCTACTTCTCTTTAAATTACATTGGAGAAAACAATTTCTTTATTTTATTTCATCACATCTATGCAAAGAATATTATGTCAACGACAAAAAATATTTGAGGCAAAGTTGCAGTCGATTCTGCTAATCAATTTACAATCATTCGAATTGCGGATCTTTGGTAGACGAGACTCTTTAATTGATTCTGTACTCGTTGATCTACATCAACTCAAACATCTCTCATCACTTCGACTCATT